AATATTTCAGCCAATAAATTACTGGAAATCTATTCAAATCGTACTCACGCCGACCTCACCATTTTAGAATAATAACTACACCAACTAAATTCTTGTTCTTGTGGCGCAACTCATTCGCCTCGGATGATTATACGAAAACGGAAAGATGTAGAAACAAAATATTTTATGGGTATATGTGGGGAACTTAGTGGGGAAGTAGTGTGCATAATTTAAAATTATTTTGAAATGTACAGGGTGTTTCAGAACTAAGATCCATACCAAAGTTATATTTTTTCTTATGCAGAGATCCGGTATTTTATTTAATTTTAGGATTCTTGGGCCCAAAAAAAGGTATTTATTATAAGGGTTAAATATGTTTAAAATCGTTGGTTTTTGAGATATTGAAAGATATTTAAATTTGCATGCTACAATAGAATAGATTATTAACTCCCTGTACATTACTTTTCAGAATTAGTTCTTGTGTTGAGTTTAAAGGTAGAGAAATAAACTTTACAGAAAAATGTTATTCCTTCCTTAAGTGTATACAGGGGTATCAAAAATTGCTGGTCTATTTTAAATATTTATTTTACATAAAAACTTCGTTATTTCAAATGCAACACTATGTATTTTTTTTAAATAAGTCGAAGCAGATTTAAATGCTCTTTCAAACTATATTAGGATTTCCTATACCTATCTGGCTCAGATTTTGAATAAAAAGCGATTTTTCAATAAAATTGTAATCAAGATGGTTAGTGTTGTCATGGCAAAGTAGCTATTTTCAAAATCGAAATTAGTTTATGGACTTATTTAAATTTATACCAGTTTACTTTTATTTAATTTACCCACAACAGTTTAATACATAATATTTATTAAATATGTGTTTATTATTCTATCAAGAAAAACGAAGAAGTAGTCTTTACGAGCCAATTACGGCAAATTCATTTTCTTCACTTCCAACGACAGGTTTCTGCCTAATAGTTTTTTTATAAACCACACTACCAGACGAAATAAAACAAGAAGTTTTTCAAAGAAAATCTTATTAGGAAGATTCCTATTTGGGTATCTTTGAGCATAAGCCCTTGAGGCCAAGAAGCAATTTTCCTCACAAAATAGTATCACTAGTATCATATCTATTCGTTCCGCCAGCAGATACTGCTTTATTTTTTTTTTTTTGATAAAATAATGAATACTTATTAATTATTATTATTAAACTATTGTAGGTAAATTTAAGTAAACTGTTATAAATTATAAATAATAATGTCCATAAACTAATGTCGTCTTTGAAAATAGTTACTAACTGTCACTAAAAAATTGCCATGGCGACACCAGCCATCTTGATTACAATTTTATTTAAAAATCGCTTTTTATTCAAAATCTAAGCTAGATAGATATAGGAAACCCTAATATTGTTTGAAAGAGCATTTGAATCTGCTTCGATTTATTTAAAAAAATACACACTTTATACAAAAAAATACACATTTGAAATAAAGTTTTTATATAAAATATATCCTTAAAATAGATCAGCAACTTTTGATAGCCCTGTATAAATTTAAGGAACCAACTTTGAATAAGAAGACTAAGGAAGGAGCATATCAAAAATCTTAGGTACACCGCGATGGGCCTCAAATATGGCCGACTTAAATTCCGGTTTATCAGTGTCGTTCTAATTTTATTTAAAAAATGTAAAACTATGATGTAGGGTAGACGTGGGGTAGACTCAATAATTTGTTGTTTTATTTTACGTTGTGAATAAATGTTGGTAGTTATTAAAATTGTTATAAAAATATATAATTCTAATAAAAATAGATAAGTTATAATAAGTATTTATTAACACAAACATCCGATACGCTACTGAAGCAGGTAAGTCAAATTAACGTATCTAAATTCTTTGACATCTAATCTTTGGCAAGTAATAAATAAAAGCTAAAATGCAAGAAAAATATATAATTTAGTTAATTTAAGCGAATTTCATAAATGATCGGTTTACTACACGTATGTATATTATAGTCACTTACTAGCGAAAAGTTCCATTATTTCACTCAATTTTTGCCGAGATCTACCGCACGCTACACAAGCAACTATTTTAGAGTCTTTTTCGATAAATCGCGATAGTGTCACTGTTAATTTAAGTTCTGCCACAATTTCCATCTAGATTTACTACCTTTATACAACTATCAGTAGTAGAATAAATAATAAATAACATAAAATAAGCTCCGTAAAGACTGACAAATCCACAAAATTTCAAATCAAATTCAAATGTGTCAAATGAATCTGTCAAGGATCCCCACCCTAGAGAGCTTTTATGGTGGCTTTTCCGCCCACCATGCATGAATACATGGATAACATTATGCTCCTTCCTTAGTATTCTTATTCAAAGGGAACCAATACCATTTTTTAGTAAAGTTTATTTCCCTATCTTTAAACTCAGCATAACAATTAATTATGAAAAGTAATGTACAGGGTGTTAATAGTCTATTCTATTGTAGCATGTAAATTTAAATATCTTTAAATATCTGAAAAACTAAAGATTTTAAACATATTTAACCCTTATAATAAATACCTTTTTTTGGGCCCAAGAATCCAAAAATGAAATAAAATACCGGGTGTTCCATAAGAAAAAATATAACTATGGTATGGATCTTTGTTCTGAAACACCCTGTATATTTCAAAATAATTTTAAATTGTGCACGTTGTCTCCCCACATATATCCCTAAAATATTTTGTTTCTACATCTTTCCGTTTTCGTATAATCAACCGAGGCGAATGAGGTGCGCCACCCTGTATATGTATAGGATAGGTAGTATTCAGCAAAATATTTCACTAAATCACCGCAATACACCAAAACACTTTTACTTTTACACTGGATGCGCGTTTCGCTAACCATATTAGCGTCATCAGCAGATGATCAAGACTCAGTTTTCCGAACAAAGGCACTCCAACGCAACGGTCAAAATTATTTTGTTTTCTAACGCAGCGGCACAGTCAACGATCAGCGTACGCTAGCGGTAGTGAATATGTTAATATTATACAAGACCACAAATATTAAAATAATATTGATTATTAAAACACACTTCCGTGTATTAACAGTATTTTTATGTATTGGCAACATTAATAGTAAATAATGTAATGTAATAAATCGCTTAAATTCTGCCAAAATCTTAGGGTAGGCGCCGCCTAACTTGCCTACCCTGACGAGCCGCCACTGGTCAATATGTTTGATAAACCGATACCGCCAAGCAGTCTCTTTGTCGCTCATCGCTTAAAGCACATGTTATATGTCACTATGTATGCAATGATCGAAAATTCGGATTATTGAATCACGAGATTCGGAATACAAGATACATAATTTAAGCTTGGCGTCAATCCAGATTAGCATGATATCATTGATACATAATATAACATATTGGAAGAATATTAAAATTAAAGATCACGAAAAAGAGTACCTTTTCCCCTTATTTGTCCTATGACTTACTTTAGAGAAAAGAAGAAACCTAATACCCACGAAAACTAAAATAAAAAATTATTAATTTCAGTCATTTTCCAATGAAACGCGGTTTTTGCTAATCGCATTTTAATTTTTCCCAAGATATAGTTGAATATCTGAAAGGCCATTTTCTCATATACTGAAAAAAAAACGTTCTTGTAGTGGTTCTGTTAATAAAAATTCTTCATCTGAAGATGCAGCAGATGTCTTTTTTTTTTTGGTAAGGGGGTGGTTTAAAAATATTTTCTAGACGAATAGTGATCATCCCCATCACCATCTCGAGAGAGACGATCATAGAAATAACCCTTAGACAGTGTGGGACTCGGATTGTTACCCACTAAAAACAGTCCACCTCCGAGGAACCAGCTGCCTAAGTATGGTCAGCTATTATTCCTGCTGATATTGGGGAGAAAGAGAAGGGTTACTTGTAGGGTATTGGGAGAACTGTTTTATGAGAAGGGGAGACAAAGTTAATTGTCTAGAAGAATCGTTTTTAGATGGGGGTATTTGAAGATTCTATAGTCCTCGGGATTGTAATCGAAGATTTTTAAGGTGTTATTGGGGGTAGTATCAATTTTTTCGTAGAACTTTAAGGCACGATCTCGAAGGTATTTGGGGATGGGGCGGTGCGGATGTCGGAGTTGCGTACATACCAGGGAGCTTTGGTAATGTAGCGGAGGATTTTGTCTTTGTAATGTGGGAGTTCCGCTTTTAAACTGGCCGAAAACCAGCATTCATTGTGTCCTACTGAGATGACTTGCAGGCGCTGGTTTTCGACGCCGGAAATAAGGGCTGGTTAACCTGCTTTCTTTGTGTGTGTACCCTTATTTTTCTGATGTTGCAGTACGGTTACTTTTAGTTGTCCTATAAAAAAAGGCATATCAATCTTTTTAAACATATGATTTATTTAAATAAAATTTTAAAAAACAAATTTGTAGAGATAAACAACTATAATATAGATATAGCTGGCAAAAAAGTATGAGAAAAAAGCATTTTTTCAGTGCCATATCATCCGTCTCTAAAACATTTTCAATATTTACATGTTTTTTTTGTAAATACATATACATCTTTATTTCTTTTTAGAGAGAGATACAAAGCAATAAAAAACAAATATCGAAGACAAATACATCCGTTTTTTATATAATATAAATAAATGCTAAAAATATATGATTATTAGTACACAAATCTGATTTTTAGGTGAAACAAATGTGAAAATCTATCAAAATTTGACTGGAAATTATGTGATATTTTTGTCGCCTTTATGGCAATATTCTAGTACCAAACGTTAATATTTTTAATTAGTTTCAAAAACTGTACACATAGTAATTTCTAGTTAAATTTTGTTGAAAAAACTTATATAATTGGGACCTTAATATTTGAACTTCAAGTTTCAATGTCATGGATCAACACTTAAAAAACATACACAATTCTACTTGAATAACATCTTTCTACCATTAATTAAATCAATTATATATCAATAGAATATATATTTTAAAATATTTTAGGGTCCCGATATTTTTTTAAAAAACAACTTTCAGTATACATGTTCTTTTATAAAGGCATTTTTTTTGGTTTTGAATTTTGAAATACCTATTAACTCAAAATAAAACCTTTGGAATGTCAAGTAGCTAGGTGAATAATTTAAATATACTATACTTTTTTAATTTTCTGAACACATTTTTCTGTATAATTGTTTCATTCTGTGAGATTCCTTCAACTATTGCAAAGCACCTGCTTGTTGATTCTGGTTCAACATTTTCTTTAATACGCACAATTTTTTAAATAAATAATACATATTTTTGATTTTTAGTTTATATTTTTATTTTTGACAAAACAAAAATATGAACTATTCCTTACACAGAAAGCTTACACAACATAGAAGTACATAAAAAACAAGGTGACTGAAAATGTAGTTTTTGAGTGTTCCTTATAAACTTAAAAACTAAATAAAATCTTTGTAATAATATACAAAAGCTAGCTTTTTTCCTACGCGAAGCTAAAATTAATCCATATTTCTTATGAATAACGACAGTTAGCTAGGCTTGCCTTTACTTTCTATTGCTGCTGTGCAGACTGCTGTTGAATTTCTATTTTTTCAACTGTCATATCCGGATTCATAGCTGTGGCTTCTTGAATTGCCTCTGCTAGTGCTCTGTCATGATCTATGGGATCTCCATCAGACTGTATTGTTATTTTCTGTTCTACTCTCGTCTCTACTATACCATCCCGTTCTGTTTTATACTGTAGAGAAATAAAGTATTGATATTATATCGATTATTTTGGCCATCTTGCCATTACCGCCAACCCCAAATTATCAGAATACATAGACTTACCGTTATGGTTTCTACAGTTCTGGTTTTCGAACTGATGGTTTGTGTGCTGACAATCTCTCCCGTTTTCACATAGTTTCCGTCGTCTGATGTCAGTTGCACTTTTCGAGCTTCAGTAGCCACAATAGGTACGTTGGTTGTTGAGGTTCTGTATCCAGATGGATCACCGCTGTACACAATGCTTTCGGTCTTAACAATTCCCCCTTGAATGTCATCCTATTGACACAATTAACAATCATAAATTTACGATTTCAAAAACAAAATATACTATGAAAATTACTAAGACTTACTACAAATACCAAAATGCATCTGATAATGCATGCTATAATAGTGGGGAGCACCAAACTATCAATAATTATTTATAAAAATAAACACATGCGATTCTTAGCTAGAATTAACGAAAAACGCAAATCTAGGTTGTCCTACCTGATACACTTACTATTTCTTTTACATGACCCCTTTAAAAAGAAAAAAATATATTATTTTTAATGTTATTAATGTATTTAATAAGTCCATAGAACTAGTACTTTTACCCAGATTAAAAAATACTCTATTTTAATTGTTGTAACTATATCTAAATATTCCAGTCGCAAAGTGTGGTGGGAGCGTCGCTGTACAGTTTGGTATAGACGGTCATCGCAACGCTATGCATCAATTAAAAACAAAAGACTATTGTGTAAAAAAATCTTAAAAATAATTGCGTACTTACATTATATAAAATATCGAATATCGAACAAAGCATCGATATTTTCGTACATATCTAATGCTACTACATAAGTCCTTGTTAGATTATGAGGTCTAGGCTTATGTTAAATCCGTAAAAATACATTGTTGAATGTGGAATATATCTTCTGCGTTGGACCCACATTCAAACAGATCAACTGATCTACTGAATTTTAGGTTATTCAATATTTTTGAGATTTTTTAAATACTAAACATCTGACAAAACTACGCAAATGTAAACGTGTAAACATTCTTTTATTATTCAAATAGAAATATCAATTATTTTGGTGTTTATTAAAAAAAACAAGAGTGCGAGAAAAAAAAACATAGGAGTTAAATAATTAAATTGTCCAAAATAATTCAGATGGTATATGAATGTATTTTATGTCAAAGATACGTGGGTGTGGGTATTTAAATGCAGTATCCAGAATCGCAGTGAAATGTTGTGTTGTGTTTTAAGTAGAGGTGAAACGAAAAAAAAAACAGAACTCTAAGCTCATTACATCGATCTGCTATCGGGGTGTTCTTCTTTAATGTAGGTAAGTTTTTCTTTTAATATTTTAATTTATTTTGGGGAATGTATGGGAATGCATTTTCCTAGTCGTCTTTAAGTCTTCCTAGTCGATGTGGCAACATCATACGTCGATCAAGCTAAAGCCGCAGTTACACGTATCAAGTAGCTAAAGCAAGCCACTAAATCAAGTAGCTAAATTTTTATCAAAATTAAATTATTTTGTGAGCGTCTACATTTTAATTTTTATTACTGTTTAGTTGTTGATTTAAACGGCATTTACACTGGGTACATAAATATCCTTCGAACCTGCTCCGATTTCATAAATGTTTTATTTTCTTTTTTTTCTTGACAATAAGTTGACCTCAATGCCCGTATTTTGTTTTTAATTTCATGAAATCCGAATCCTTCTATACCCATGATTTCCTCAATTTCCTTATACGCTGTGTCCCGAGTCCCGAGCTTGTTTATTTTTATAAACGGCAGTCCTTGTATCCCATAAGCATCGTCTTTTGCTTAAAAACCGGGATGACCACTTGCGCAAATAAATAGGAAACGTTTCTATTCAGTTGACTAAACAGTGTACTAAATCTGTTACTTGCGCAAGTTCTCAATCGGGTTGTTTACACCATGCAGGTCACTAAATTTAGTAATTATTTTAGTAACTTGCTTTAGCTACTTGACACGGGTAAATTAGACTTAAGATCCGGCTTAGTAGTTGGGCTGACTTCCGAGTGCTGCCGGCGCGGCGGTTCTTAAAATGTTATGTATTTTCTTAAATTTTCTGAGTAAATTAACTCAGTTATTTTCAATTTATTTTAAAAAATGGTAAATACAAAATATGTTTCTTTTGGCTAGTCTACCACCCCTTAAAATACTTGAACTTATTTCTGAGAGACCCTGTATAACAAAATAAATAAAATATGAAGCCGAATTCTTTTTACCTACCTTATATTGCGAACTCTGATAATACGGGTCGTTCGGATCGTCTGGTGGGTCTATGGGTGTACCGGAATCGCCTGAACTAGTCGAACTGATGCTATCTCGTCTGCCCAGCTATAAGCCATGCGAGTTAGACAAGGACGTGAAACAATATGTATGGTATGACCGTGACTGACAATTTCCATGTCGTTCGGTTAGTAAAATGCGATTGTTGATTTAAATATGAGAATGTTTTAGAGATAAAAATAATATAATGTATATGTTACAGTAAAAATTGGAAATCAGTGATTGTTAACAATTACTAAAAGCTCACATTCACTGATTTGCTAAAACTACGCCAGTAAAAGTTCAATCTATTTTTGAAACCAACTTTTACTAGTGAATGCTAGCATTCCCTGGACGATGGCAGTGAGTTTGAAAGATTCAGTTAGCCACATGTTGTAAAATATAAGGATAAGTTGAATAATAGGCAATATAAGGATAACACTAAGTTGGATTAAACGTTGGCAACGTTGACAGACATCTGACGTAAATTCGCTTTGTTTATTGTGGTTATGTATAATTGTTTTGTTAACATTGTAAAAAGTTATGTGCGGTATTTTCCCTATGGAAGAAATTTTCTGTGAAAAAATAAGGTAAACTAGGCACTAGCAAGAATGTAATAGTAATTGTTTTTCGTTTTTGCAATATGATGAAGTCATAGCATAAATTAAACGTACAAGAGAAAAATATATTAAGGAACCTAGTGACTATGAACTTATTAAACGTTTCGATATAACCGTAGCGGGTTTGAAAAAACGAATAACGCCCGTTGAAGAAAATTCGGACATACTTTATTTTGGCCACGATGAAGAACTTTATTTAAAAAAAAAAACGCTTTAAAATGTTTATATATTTTCCCTTTTAATATTTAGGTTATGTCATGATTATTTTCTATAATTTTTAATAAATATACTAAAGAAGTAATTGTAATTTTAAGATATGTCGATCAGCTTGAATATTGAGGTGATCCAATATTTTTAAAAGTTTTATTTGTTCTAACTTTCACCGCCATTCTTCCTCACCACACTTGCCCAGTACAATAGAATAACTTTTACTGGCAACATTTAGTAAATGTTAAAATTATGAAATGAAAATATCACATTCACTGATCCAATGCGCAATTGCTAGCATTTCCTAGTGAATGTTAACAATCACTGAATTTCCGACTTTCACTGTAACATATATAACAAACGTCAAAGTTGATATCTAAAGTATGTCCAACACAAGAGCATACATGACAGTGATTTGTTATTTTTATACACTGGTAAATTTCTGTCCTTTTTTGGACGTCGTCTATCATATCAAAATCTTTCTCAAGTCGGATAGCCTTTATATATTAGTAGTGTGTTAAATATTAATTACAAGACATTTGACTATTCTATTTCTTAAAAAAGTTAATAAAAAAAATGTCTGAAGTTTAAACAACTAAATTATTATAACTACAGTTCTCTATTAATTGAAAAAAATATGATAAAAATCACTTTGACAAATATTTTTTAAAAGAAAATCCATGGGTTTGTTGTTAGTAGTAGCAAAAAACAAATCGGCTTGTCAGAATTTTTTATAAAGAAAAATACCTGATCTCCGCTGACAACCGTGCTGGTTGTCTTGACCTCTTGCGTCACAGTGCGCTGTTCCTGTCTAGTGGCGCTACTTGTCATAGAGTGCGCTACTGTCTTCTCCTCAAGCTGCTGCGTTTTGGCGTTGGTGCCTAGATCTTCGTGCGTAGTCGCTGTTCGTGTCGTCACCGCTCGTGCCGTGACGTAGGGAGACTTGACGTCATCGATCAGAGGCGTGTCGGCCTTTTTTTAGGATACGCGAAAAATAAAAAAAGGGAGAAAAAAAAAACAAAAGATAAAATCGAAATTATAAGAAAAGGGCGAAGTTAAAAAGAGTACCGAAATACAAGATATTTGAATGAATTATGGTGTTATACATTTATCTTATACGCGTGTAATTTATACAAAAAATAAATTAGAAAATGAGAAATGTATCTTGTATTTCGTGTTTATACACTTTAGTAAAAAGGAATATAATTTGAAATTTAATAAACTAAAGTAAAATAACCGAACAAAATAAAAACTATAAGTAGGATGGTAAACTGTAAAAAAACCAAAATTCTTATCTACCAAAATGTATAAACTATAAAAATTCAATTTTTTTAAATATATTAAAATAGAATAATAATTGGCACACGAGAATATCGATACATAACGGGTGTTTCACTTGTAATATTCGATATTTATTTTTGACTCTCCCTGTGCACTTGAAGTAATATTGCAACTTTAACATGATTATTTTTGAATAGGATATTGTTATCAATTGGTGTCAATAATTTGCAATTTAATCATTTTGCGGATGTTGTAAATGTGCAGAATAAAAACCACTCAATTATAAAATATGATAAAAAGGTACTTTAAAATGAAAATTGTATGCCAAATCCACTGAGGAACAAATTATATAGCAATTTGTTTAAAAAAAGAAATGCTTAAATTTTATTAGTTATCATGGCTCGCATGTTTTGTAACAAAATTAATATTAAAATATAAAAAATGACATCGGATATGGCGGTTATTCTAAACAGTGGCCGACCCTGTACTTTATTGTCCATTTAAAACCGATTATCATTCAATTCTTATAACCTCAATGCTATATTTACCTTATTAACTTGCGTGGACACCTTAATTTCACCAGTTCTTCCATCTTCTACCCTTTCTTCCACGTTTTGCGTCACTCCATCCTTGTCCTTGGTGATGATCTGCTTTGTTGTAGTTTTTACTACCACTGGAGTGGTAAGACTTGCTCCTTTGGACAAACCAAGGCTAGGCAGCTCTTTAAAACTCTCCGCAGCATATTCATTCAAATCGTCGTCACTAGATTCTTCGTCTCCTTCTTTCAAATAGGTCTTCACTTTAACCTTTGTGTCTTTGAGGTCCGTAAAATGACTTGGATCGATCTGAGCATAATTTAAAATCAACTCTCCAGTTATAGGGTCTCTTCTCGCTGTCTTAGGATCAATGTCACCTGTTTGGGGGTCAATATGACCCCATTCGGTATGAATTCTACCAGTAACAGGGTCAATCTCGCCCGAAAGGGTTAATACTTGTGTCACTTTTGTGTTAGCGCTCTTTACCAAAGGATCATTGGGATCTACTTGCACGATTTTTCCGGTCTTGGGGTCTACCATACTGTAGATATAGACAGTTTGAGTGCTCACGTTGACTATTCTGCCTGTTTTCTCATCGAACTGACAATCTTTGGGATCTATTTCCTTTACTTTGCCTGTAGGGTCATTTTGTGTGATCAAATAAATACGAACAATGATCATTTTACCTGTTTTGGGGTCAATTTTACCGTATTTGGTATAAATTTGACCCGACTGTGGATCGAATTCTGAAGTAGAATATAGCGGAACACCTGTTTCGTCCACTTCATTGGTTTTTGTGAATATTTGACTGGTTTCTTTATCAACCCTGGCGGTATTCTGATCGACTTTAGACATTCTAGTAATATTGCCAGTTTTTGGATCGATATATCCATAAACAGCCGTAACATAACCTGTGGTTGGATCAACATTACCAGTAGTATACACTTCTTCTTTACTGACAGGATCATTATAGTCAAATACCCAAATCTGATTAGATTTTGTGTCAATCCTGACCGTTTTTGGATCTCTTTTCACAATCTCTCCTTTTTCATTAACTTTCGGGTCTGTTATAAGAATACCAACGAGCCTACCGTAGTTAGGATCGGGTTTACCAGTTTTAGGGTTATTATAGCCGCCTTTGAAGAGAATATGTCCAGTTGTCGGATCTATTACTCCTTGCTTCACCTCGTGTTTGCCGCTTTTTGGATCTATATGAGTTATTGTAGCCTTTACTGGATCAATTTGACCATACTTGGTATCAATTCTGTGAGTAGATGGATTGTATAACCCGTTTGAGACTTCGGGAACGATATTTTTAGCATCTATGGTGTTTTTCTTGGGATCCACCTTACCTACGAAGGTGACTACTTGTACTTCTGGGTCTATTTCGGCTCCTAGTTTGATAACTTGACAAAAAGCGGGGTTGATTGTGTCGGTTTTAGGATCTTTAACGCCGGTGGATATGATTATATTACCCTCAGCGTCTACCTGGATGGGTCTGAACTCGACTTTTCCAGTTACAGGATCTTTAGTAGTAATTCTTAACAGTTTCAAATTAATAGTACCGTATTTAGTCTCGATTTCGCCTGTAGCAGAGTTCTTTTTAGCCTTGGAGCTTTCCATCTGACCATTGTTAAGATCCACAGCTCCGGTTTTGGGGTCGGTTTTCGCTGTGATCGTTGTTATTTCGATAGCAGGATCATTTTGACCGGCGATACTGATAATTTGGCCTAGAGAACTATCAATTTTACCAGTCTTCGGATCTACTACACCAGAAGATAAGATAATTTGTCCGTTGATCTCGTTAATCTGTGCACTTCTAGCATCTACCTTTCCAGATTTGGGGTCGTTAACAATAACTTTTCCATTCTTAGGATCGATTAAACCGTATTTTGACTCTATTAATCCCGTTTCTGGATTCAACAATGCAGTAGACTGTTCTATTTGACCTTTATCTACATCAGCTTTGCCTGTTTTTGGATCGATTCTGGCAGTGATCACCGTTATTCTGATCATTCTCTTTTTAGGTACTGGAGCAGCGTGAGGGTCCTGAGCCTGTTTCAATCCGACAACTGCAAAAACTTGTCCAAGGTTCGGATCACTCTTACCCGTCTTAGGATCAACGACGGGACCACCATTGATGATGATGTGACCAGTCGTTTCATCCACTTTCCCAGGTATGATACCTCTCTGACCTGTTGTAGGATCATTTGAAATCAAAGAACCTGTCGTAGAGTCGATTTGACCATATTTTGTTTCAATAAAGCCTGTTGACGGGTCTACAACTCCGGTAATATGTTCTACGGTTCCATTTTCTATATCTACGTTCCCTGTTCTTGGATCCTTCCTGCCGGTGATCACCATAATCTTAACTATGCGATGTTTAGCGATGGGATGAAGTACTCCAGTGATAACCTCCTTGATAGGAGTTCCAGTACTTTCCTTTTGATGAGACGTAGTAATAATCTTCGGAGGAGATACGGGTTTCAAGCTGGCAGCAGTGGCTTTTTGAATTTCCTTCTCAGAGGGTTGCTGAGAAGCAACAGGATCGATACTGGGTTCAGTAATATGGACTGAGACAGCACGGCCAAAATCTTTTTCAAGTTTCCCTGTTTTGGGATTAATAAATCCTCCTTTGAAAACCAATTCGCCAGTATTGGGTTCAATATGACCCACTCTAACGTCAGTTTTGCCAGATTTTGGATCAATAATAGTCAATGTTTCACGAACCGGGTCTAGATGACCGTATTTCGTATAAATTTTATTTTTATCTGGATCATATAGACCTGGAGTGGAATCTGGATGAGCGTTCTTCGAATCTATTGTATTTTTCTTATGATCGACTTTACCAACGTAGGTTCTGATTTCGATTTCTGGATCAACTTCCGGTCCTACTTGAATCAACTGCACCATATTAGCATCAAGTTTGTTAGTTTTCGGGTCTATAACACCGCTAGATACGATGATATTATCGTCTTTGTCTACTTGAACCGGTCTTTCCTGGATTTTGCCAGTTTTGGGATCACGAGTATAGATGCGCATCAATTTCAAATTAATTGTACCAGGTTTGGTAATGATCTCACCAGTTTCAGGAATTATTTTGCCATTAGTAACTTCAGTTCTGGAATTGGTAAGGTCTATCTTTCCGTTAGGATCTTTCCTAGCAGTAACACATGTAATAACCACAGCTGGATGTTGAGGATCGACTACATTGATCACTTGGGACAAGTTAGGGTCCACCTTACCCGTCTTGGAATCCACGATATTATCACTGACGTATATTTGACCTGTGTTCTCATCAATCCTGATCGGTGTGACTGTAGTTTTACCAGATTTATCTTTTTGCACGATCTTACTATTTTGTGTATCAATTTTTCCGTATTTTGATTCAATAATACCACTAACTGGATCTATTGTAGCCGTCAACTTCTCTACAATGCCATTTTCGGTATCAACCTTTCCAGTTTTAGGATCCTTCTTACTGGTAATCACCAGAACCTTAATAACTCGTTTTTTTGGCGTGGGATGACTTGGTAAAGCATGTTTCACTGCTGCTCGATCATCCACCGGACTTCCGTAGTCTCCTACAACAGTTATAACCTGTCCTAGGTTAGGATCTCTTTTACCTGTTCTAGGGTCAATGACTGGACCATTTGCGATCTGAATTTGACCAGATATAGGATCGACGTGTCCTTGAACTGTCTCTTGTTTACCAGTTGCTGGGTCAGTAATAACTATAGTGCCTTTTCTAGGGTCTATTAACCCATACTTTGAGTCAATCTCTCCCGAAGGATGTAATATACCGGCAGACTGATCCACGTGACCATTCTCCAAGTCTAAGTGTCCAGTTTTGGGGTCTTTCTTCGCAGTAATGACCAGAAGTTTTATTACCTTATTTCTGTCTTTAGGAGATAGAGAATCTCGCACCGGAGGTTTCACTGGACTAACAGGAACGGGTTTCTTAGTCCTGACGAGACTAGGATCAACTTCGGGGTTTTTTAGCTCGATTGCAATAGTTCTACCAAACGAATTGTCTATTTTGTTGGTCTTGGGGTTTACCAGGCCCTTGAATAAGACTTCTCCGGTGATATAGTCACGCTGACCGTGCTTTATTTCAGTTTTTCCACTCTTGGGGTCCGTTACGCTGAGAGTTTCGTAAATGGGATCGTATACTCCGTATTTAGTGTATACTTTATTAGTAGCTGGATCGTAGAGCCCTAGTGATTTGTCGACTGAAGATGCTGATTTTGGATCAAGTCCCTTTTTGTCGACTTTACCGGACACAGACTTCACTTCCACTACGGGTTCAATTTGTGAGTCTATCTGGAGGATCTGACTAAGATCATCATCTCTCAAACCAGTGTTTGGATCGACTACTCCTTCCAAAACTATCACGTTACCGTTAGGATCGAATTGAACAGGATGTTCCTCGAATTTGCCAGACTGGGGGTCTTTAGTGCTGATAGTTTTGTTCTTGGGATTGATTGTCCCGTATTTAGTGACGATAGTGTCAGTTTTGGGGTCGATTTTACCGTGGGTGGTTTCTTTATGTGCTCTAGCCGGGTCTAACTGTCCAGTTCTCGGATCTCTTTTCGCTGTAACCGCTGTTACAGGAACAATACTATCTCCTTGATTTCCGACCTTGAAAATTTGACCAAGAGTATTATCAATTTTTCCGGTTTTTGTATCAATTACTCCTTCATCCAGCTCGACATGGTTCAGATTTTCATCAATTTTAATTGGACGAGTATCAATTTTTCCTGTTCTTGAATCACTGCGAATAATGTTATTGTTCTTCAGGTCCAAAATACCGTATTTTGTTTCAATTCGACCTGTAACTGGATCCAGGACCGCATCTAGAGTCTCAACATAACCATTTTCAGCTTCAATCCTTCCAGTTCTAGGATCTTTCTTTGACGTAGTAACAGTGACCTTAATGATCCTTTTCTTGGGTACCTGAGCCAAGGAATTTGATGCTTTAATTTCTCCAGGGCAAATTGAGATAATTTGGCCCAAAGAAGATGATTTTTTTCCAGATTTCGGGTCTATTACTGAACCGGCAGTGATAACGATTTGTTTGGTAACAGGATCAATGTAGCCCTGAACAACTTCCTTTTGGCCGTTCACTGGGTCTGTGACAATAACAGTTCCGTTGGAAGGATCGATAAGTCCGTACTTGCAATCAATAAGACCGGTATCAATGTTTTCTTGACCTTTGATAGAATCAGCGGTTGATTGGTCAAGATCAATCCTTCCTGTTTTTAAGTCTCTAGGTCCGGTGACGACAAGTAATTTAATAGGGCGTTTTTTACTAATGCCTAGCACTAAAGGAGCTGCGCTAGCCTGTTTGGTTTCTTTAGTGGGGTCTTTTTCGTATTGTTCCCCAGCCAAAAAGGCAGCTGTATCAGCTTTAGCATCATTTTTCTTCAATTTATCTATATCACCAGGAGCATAGTTGAATGCCGTAGCTGTAGCCCGTTTTGTAGATGGCGATTGTTGATTTTCCGGGTCACTTTTTAGACTTGAAGGCGATCCTTGGTTCTCGTAGCTAAAACCTTGGGTGTAAGGCTTCCTCGGGCTGACCTGTTCTTCGGGAGCTTCGTAATCGTACTGCTTGGTGTATCCTGGAGATGAAGACTTCTCTGCTATCTTCTCTTTTTCCTTTTTCTCCTTGGGAGACTTATCTCTTTTGCCGAATAGGGACGAGGGGCTCTAGGAGAGGAGAAAGCAAAAAAAAATCATGCCTACATACATGCACAAATCTACGTCATAGTCTTTGATTGTTTAAGATACTAGGGTATATAAAACAGAACGTTTTTGTAATTTTGACGTGCACAAATATTACAAAATAATCGAACACAAGACACACATGTAAATTACAAAGCTCTGAGTTTTACACTAATTTTTTACATAAATTTTAAGTATTTTTAGATCATTTAAACTAACGTGAATATATTCGACTGGATGACCCTCTTTCTATAGGGATAACATCTCTTTGAATGACTCTAAATGTAATTAGTAAAATGTAGGTTTCAATCTGAAACAGTCGATATTTTTCAACATCTCCCAGCAGAGGTGCATATACTAGATGGGTAATGGGAATAATTAAAAAGTAAAAGAAAATGTGGTATAAATAAAATTGCAACAAAATAAATTAATAATAGCAATCAAAATAGAAAATCCAGACCAATCTAAGTTTATTTTTTCCAGTCACAATAACTTTCAGCATATATTTAATTTAAATTTAGTACTTCACTCAAATATTGACACTATCCTTCCAAGTCTCTAGTTGCGTCACTGACTGAATGACTGAATAAACGAGTTAAGCGAAAAAAATGGAAATTATTTTAATATTTATCATCCACGTGAGTTTATATGATCGACAATTATAAAATACTATAAGAAAACTTAAAATGCATACCTTAGACCTCTTTTTATCGTCCTCATTATGCTGGTCCGTATCTCTACCATTTTGTAAATTCTTCTCATTTTCCTTGTTCTTCTCCTTGTCCTTTTTACCAAATAATCCACCAGCCGGCAAAACTGCTACGCCGCCTACAGGTTTCTGCGAATTCAAACAAGAAACCCTGTAAAAACTATTTCTGATGCCTAGAGGTCTGTACAAAAAATAATATACTAAGCAGATAACTATGGCGAGAAATAGATTTTTCGGCAAACCATCCCAGTACCACAAAGCAGAACAACAATGATCATAAAATAAATCTGTCTTTAAGCTAAATACCGAAATTGATTTATATAGCCTGCAACCTTGATTATCAATTTTATGAGAAATAAAACATACTTATAATAATTGCTTTCTTAGATTAAATATATAAAAAATATACAACTTACCTATGTTTAAGACGTCTGCAAGATATACATAAGAAAATAATTGTTTATAGAATGTATATCTACATATATAAAATGCTAACGTTTATCTGTGTCGCCTCTACTGAAGTAACGACTTGCTCTAGAAAGTTGCTTTTTTTTTACTAAAAGATAGCTAATTGGCTCTTCTAAAAACTGTCGTCGCCGGATTTTTTGTTTTTCATTTAATTAAAAAAAAATAAAAAGTATTTTTTTCCTGATGTCGTGGCGGATGCGCCAGGCTTCAACTAGTATATAATATATTTACAACTATAGTTGTGCTTTAATAAAATTATTCTACTTTTCAAACTACATATTCGCGTTCGATAGTTAGAACCTTTATTTATATCACAATTAAATAAAACAAAATATTACAGTTGGGGGTTGGAACCTTATTTGGTGTTACACTGCAAAATAAAACACTAAATCACCACAATACACCAAAACACTTTTACTTTTTACACTGGATGCGCGTTTCGCTAACCATGTTAGCATCATCAGCAGAAGATTAAAACTCTATTGAGTTTGGTCACAACATGTTCATCAGCAGATGATCAAAACTCTGTTGAGTTTGGTTTTAACATGGTTAGTGAAACGTGCGCCCAGTGTAAAAAGTAAAAATGTTTTGGTGTATTGTGACGATTTAGTGTTTTATTTTACTAAAACAAAACATTAAAAAATATTATAACGCTATTTGTAACGACATTAGAAATGCCAAAGTTGGCAAATATTTTAATGCAATTAAAGCGAAACTCTGTGTAAACATAATGTCTTCTAAAAGATATATGTGTCTTTTCAAATATCCTACAACTTGCTGATTCTTTCACAAGATTGCTGGCGTTGTTTACTGGATTTGTTTACATAAAGACGCTGGAAATGCATCTTTGTGTAAACAAAACCATTTTCTTAGCAGCGAAAGCTGTTTACTACGCGGACTATACTTAAAAAAATATTGTGGTAGCGTGAGTGTATCCTTTAGTATATTTAATCTAAGAATTGATCTATAATAATAATCTATAATTTTGATGGACATTTCAAGATCGCGGGCTACGCCTGAAGAAGCCAATACTGAGGTAGCAATTTTACAGCGGAAGAAATCCTATTTTTTTCAAAAATAACAGACAAAAGTAGATCAAAATACACCTTCTGTGATTTGTCAGCATCATATTCCCCCTCCACTGAGCTGATAGTGCTGCCCGAACCAGAACTCAGTTTCCTTCCGTGCTAGTGGACACAATGAACATGGATTAAATTTAGATGATATACAGGGTATTCAAGAAATCCAGAGACACGTGAAATATTTTTTATCTTTTTTTTATAAACTTTCATTCCTAATAAAAGTATCTGTATCTTAGGACACTCCTAATAAATTAATCAAAATTCAGAGGTTTAAAAATATGAAATCAGAAACTTAACGTAACTTTTTTCTCGTGCGTCCAAATTTCGTGAACATACTGTATAATCGAATGACATTAATTCGACAACATTTAAAAAAATTCATGACACAAACATATAAATGAAGTAATTTAGTGATGTTAAATGATATAATGGGTAAACAGCTTAGATGTTTACAAAATTAGAAAATATTTTTTTGCAACAGTAAGGATTAGAATCACGCAGAGTAATACAAATAAATAAATAGTCATGTTGATTAACACTCCTGCTATTAATATTTACCTTTTCTTTATCTTTGGGTGATTTAATTTTGGCAGGTGTCTGGTTATCGACCTCAATGATGTGCTCGGGAGGATGAGACATTGTATGGCGCTTGTTGGTGTCATTGTACTCATCTTCGGGTCTTACACTCAGAGCTAGTTAAAAATAATAATTATTAGGAACAAATATGCCTGATTGGTTCTAATAATAAAAAATAACGTCAGTCCCTTGTTTATACCGGGTGTCCCAGGCTGAGCGTGCATTAGAGGTTTCTAGAGAACTACAATATCTAGATCGGAGATTTTTTGCACATTTTGCACAGATCTCATTGAGATGTTTCACAATGAGATCTATCGATTAAAAATATTTTCAATGTGACGGCGCTTCCGGAAATACCGGAAGTTGACAGCAACTTTCTTATATTAAATGGGTACCCTAATTTTTTATTACATACTTAAATTCTCTGTAAAATTTTATGAATTTTGAAATCAAACACTGTATACCTAACTTTAATCGTTTTTGAGAAAAAAAAACATAAAAATTTTTGGAGGAAAAAACTGCCTGTCAAAAAAATTTGTATAGCCTAAACATCAAATTTAGTGACATAGTCGCTGGGACATAAAGAGAAGACATGTAGCTATCTATTTCAAAAATTAAATTGTTTGAATGTCATATATAATATTGGTCGCAGCTGTCATGGAATTAAAAGATTAAAAAATTATAATAATTCATTTTTTTTCAAATGGAAACCCACTTTTTTATTTCAACAGTGAAAAAATTTTTCAATTCATTACTTTTTGATTATACGTGTTCCTACACCTAAAATAAATCGTTTTTAAGTTATTTAAGATTTAGTTTTTAAGTGTATTTTTTTCTTGATTTTATCTAGCTTCCTTTGAAAGTAAGTATCAAACCATCAGACAATTTATTTCCTTCTGCCAAAAAACTAATTATTTGAATTTCGCATATTATAAATACTGCTTTATAAAGCTAAATTAATTGATAAAAAAAACAACTTTATAAAGCTAAATTAATTGATACTCAACAATAATTTGTCTGGCCGAATTGAATAAACTTTATTTATTAAAAAAATTTGTAAAGATTTGTCAAAAGTAAATATTTGATTTCAACAAAGCAAACTTACGGTCCATACTTCTAGATGTCAATCTTTTGCCTGTCAACGACCTTTCAAATTGAGGAGCAGGCCTGTCAATTGGTGTTTTTCTCGTCTCATAGTGAGTCCTACCTGAATATCTGTAAAAGAAATAAAAAAAATACAATATTGATTTACACCTAATGTAAGTTTTTTCCAGTTAAATGACACTGGACCTCCAGTATAAGCAACCTACCTAAATTTCGATCCTAACCTAGGAAACAGCGAATTTTTCTGACTAATTTCAGGCGACATCAGTCTGAAGAAAGTATGGTGTTCCACGCAGGTTTTCCACAGTTTCTTAGCTGCGCGATGGTTGGCCAATTTGAAGCCAATCGTGGATTCAAACTGTTCGAACTCACCCGGACGTATTTTGATATAAAAATTGTGTCTCTTATAGCTTATTTTCAAAATTTTCGGCCAGGCAAATCGGTTTATTCTAAGGCGGTCGCGGTAAACTAATAATCCAGAGGCACAAACACCAAGCATAATATCTACCCCTTCAGAATCCTTGGCAGGATGTAGATCAACCCCATACATGGCTAGTTTCTTAGCATTCTCCAAGTAATGCAGTTCTGCTTCGGCTGGAGTCTGACCTCTAAAAATAACAAACAAGCCTTAGATCTCTTTACCACAGTATATCCACATATCTTTACTTGTGTGTTTTGTGGAGTTCGCACACTTTAGCTTCTAGGTCTTCGTTTTGGGTGGGAGCCAACTTAAACTCTTTCAAGTAATCCTTGTTCATATTATCCGGATCGTAATCGCCCAACTCTGATTGGGCCAAATACGATCCAAGGAGGGCATGTGTGACAAATGAACAAGGCAGGCGTCCGCTAAGAATATCATTGCGGATTTGTAGACATAATTGGTACCTAAAATTTAAAACTCTGTTTAAAAAAGTTTTAGCTACGTTTAGTTTATTACCTTGTAATATCTTCTTGTAATTGAGCTGGATCTGGAGGATAGAACTTAACCTCAAATGTAAATCTCCAGGGCTCGTCTAAATTTATAAAAAAAATTAAGTAAGTACTGTATATATTAACATGAATATAAAAATACTTTTCAGAAATTTTGCTATCCTTTTATCTAATTCTAGCCAATTTCTGGGATCATGTCTGTCAGCATACACCAAGCCAAAATAGTCTTTTTCTATTAGGTTGATGGCTTCGCACACTTTATCTAACAGGTCTCTGCCTTTTGATTTTCGCTGTAATATCAATAATAACGTGTTTTCATAAGGTATTTAAAAAACAACTAAAGACAAATATTTACATCGACATTAAGAGTTAGAACTGAACCATCCAACATGGTCACTTCAGTCCATTCAGATAGTCCATTTTTGCCACCCTTCAGATCTTTTGAGAGGGCCTGTTTTTTGGCAGGTGACGCCTCAGCGTCTACAGCCGTATTTTTTTCTTCAGGCATTCTGAAATAAATTATATCATGTAGTAGCTTTGCGTTAGTATGTTATAAATGAAATGGCGTTCGCAGGTTTAGGACCAGGATTTAAACAATCTTTTATATTAAAATTGTCGACGTTTCGACGTGTATTTTCGTATTCTTTGGACAATTTTTTAAATAAAAGGTTGATTAATTCCTGGTCCTAAAAGTGAGAGAGACCGATCAACGTTAATTTTTGAAGACTGTGTTAGTGGCGCGGCCTTTGGCGTCTAACCCGAACTATGAGCGCATTATCGATATAGTAGGTTGCATTCATACCTATATTCTGGCGCCAAAAATTTAAAATTTGTATATTTGAACCGAATCTTAATCTTTCAAGTTTATAATAAGAAATCTTCGTAGTTTTTTTAAATTATTTTGTTGACAACGAGAATTTATTATTAGACTTTAAAGCATTAAAACCTATAAATAAAATACTGTGTAGGAACATAATAATTTATTTAACTCCATACTCCTTGCCATACTCCAACTCAAGGCTGCAATCTTCAGTATCTTTTTTATCTAACTTGGTTGGGAGTGAACAGGGAAGCACGGTTGGGAGCTCGCACAGAGTATCAGTAGGTATCCCGTAGGTATTCAATGTTTTTGATAGTCTTTATTCTCTAAAATGAAACCTAGCAGTTGAAGAAAATAATTTGTATTACTGGAAATAATACCAGGTATAATACCTAGTCGTTTCATAGGTATCAGAAAAGAATGTGATGTTTTAAATTAAAAAAATTAAATTAGCAATGTACGATTATTATGTGCACTCACTATTACTATTAGGTATCTTAAAATAATTACCGAGATAAAACTTACCTTTAAAGGAAACGTTTTGTCTGGGTCTCAACCACAAAAAAAATTACAAAAATGCCGAATAATCGTGGAATCTGAAATAATCAATAATGACAATAATCTTCTCTTCTGACAAGCTAAAAGAACAGAGGCACATTCAGTCAAAAACAATTTATTACTCCGATTTGCTCCGAATATCAACAGATTTTAGTTATCTCCTTCTAGAACTAAGAAATAGAAAAAGCTACTGACAATCTAATTAATCCTGTCAAATGTTTAACTTGCAAAGTTGAAAACTTCCTTTTTTGACCGCCTAAACGCTATGCGCATCTGGGATGCGCGGTGACAAAATAAACTTGTCTACGAAATGCCCTATTCCACAAGCCCCCTCACTTTAGTTATTAGTTTCTCTCTGTCCTAAACCTGCCAACGCCATTTCACAAATTATAAATAATTTGCAACTAATTTGGCAACGCGGTGAAAATATTGAAAAGAATAAATTGATAACCAGTGGATTTTTATTGAGTTTTCATTTTTGAAAATTGGTACACAGATAAATCATGCGTCGAGTAATAGAAGAATGGAACGGTGGAATATCTGTGGGGGCAGGAGGATGAATAACCTGAGATACTCGGATGATACCGTGATTATAGCCGCCAACAAAGAAGAGTTGCAAGAAGTCATGGCTGCACTGTGCTCTATTAGTAAAAAATATGGTTTGGAACTAAACAAACGGAAAACCAAGACGATGATTGTTGACCGCCTCCGCAACAACCAACCTGATATCCGAACCGTTTCTGCATACGAGGTTGTGAGCCACTTCAACTCTTTAGGTTCCATGATAACAAACTCTGGAGGATGCGAGGCTGAAATCAAGCGCAGAGTGGCAATGGCGAGGAATGCGATGACAAAAAGCTTACTAAGATATAGAAGACTTCAGCAATCACACGAAAAACTAAACTGCGCATTGCGAACTCCCTCATTTTCCCCATGTATGGCTCTGAAACATGGACACTAAAGGAAAGTGATAAACAATGAATAGACGCCTTGGAGATGTGGGTATATCGACGGCTGCTGCGAATACCATGGGCATGGACGGCTCATCGAACAAATATTTCTATTATTGAAGAATTGAAGAACTAAAAATTGAGGCGCGTCTGGTTACCAAATTAAATCAGTCAATCCTCCTATATTTTGGCCATATTGCCAGAAGTGGCACCTCAATTGAGAGACTGATGGTGGAGGGGAAGGTAGAGTGAAGACGATCACGTGGAAGGTCACCTAAGAGGTGGGTAGACCAAGTCAAAACCCTAGGGGGACACAATCTCCTTGAAGCCTCACATATGGCGCAGTGTCGAACAACTTGGTCCGAAGAAGTGAGGGGAATCAACACATGATGTGACCATACTCTCGCGAAGGGTGAAGGACTGAAGAGAGACAGATAAAATTATTTTTAGTAAAATCAAATTTTAAACAATTTTTTCTCTTTGGTATTTATATTTAGTTACCTAACATAAGCTTCATGAACATTTTTTGCACCTCGTATTAAGTACATCCTTTTAAGCGAAGTTTAATGTTATTGTACGTGTCAAGTATTTTTATGAATACTTTTTATCGTGTACAGCTAATAACGGTATTTCTAGGCAAGTAATCACGAACAATGGTTTCAAACAATTTAGATATCAAAACATTTAAAACTATTTAATATTTTTTATCAATATAGACATAATATTGTTCTTTTGTGGAAAAACTGGGTCCCAATTCCACATCCTATCCAGATAAATAGAAATAATATGTTATGAAAAGAAAGTTAGAAAGTCTTATTTCCTTAGAAACTTTATCAGTATTGCTAACGACACGGCAATTACCTTGTTTACACGGCTTTTGCAACACGAGACGGCAAATGCCACGGCAATTCAGTGGTGCCTTGCAACATAAATTTTACAGCACGGCAAGAGATTAAAAAATGCAGAGAAGATATAAAATTTCAATAAATTAACAATGAATGGACTTTAAAATTACGTACATATTTAGGCAAAATGAAATTAAACTAAAACTAAATGATGACGTGTATATTAGACAAAAATCGTTGATTGAAAGAATTGAGGAGATACGCAACCTAATGAACGAATTCGTGATAAGGCTGATTTGATTTCCCCTTACGTCTCAAGTGCTGTACGGTGGCGACACAAATCATTCTGCGGCCAACGCATAAAACACTTATTTCCTCTAATTCGGCCAGCGAAGGCATATCGAAGAGGGTGTGGAACTGAAACGACAGTGTTGCAGTATTAAAATGTGTATTATCTGTAATACGTTTGACGAAAATATTTTTGAATGAAAAATCCGCGTTTACGTATTGAATATTTATTCGTATCAAACATAGAATAAACAACAAAAATAAATATTCTTTTATTACTACTGAATATATTATGTCGTATAATCGAAAAAAATCGTTTACTCTTAGTTGGTATAATATTTTACATATAAAATAAGCGATCTTCATTTCCAAGCCAACTCTGACGCCGTTTTTTGTTTAATCATATAATATTATATTAAACTGTTTAATGATAAAAAAACGTATTATTAACGTACTGTACCCAAAATCCGTAAATCTACGGATTAATCAGTAGTTCTGCCAACACTGTCTCCGTCAACCACTCTCTCTTATCGACTGAAAGCAGAACTACGGTCAAGGTTACTATATTAAACAGGTTGCCTCGTAAATTTTGGACCAATAGTTGCAAAGCGGTAACTACGTCACAGGTATGCTACAGAACGTATAAAAGCATATTTTTATAAAGGAATAAAAAATAAAATACAACGGACAAAGAGAGATAAATGGGCAATGCATTAAAGAAAACAAACATCAAACATCAAACAACTGAAAACTATGAACGCCATACACAATGAATATCGATTCGGAAATACACTGTCGGACTATCGGCAGTTTCTATCCCTTTATCTATGATCGGCCCGCATACCTGTGACGTAGTTGATGACGTTTCCGATAATGGCAGATCCAGTTACGAGACAACCTTATCTTTTAATAACCTTGAAGTACGGAACAGTATTCTTTATCCGCTGCGCTGTAAGCGAGTATCAGCGCGTAGCAGAGTTAAACCAGCTAAACTAAATCTCGGACAGGCTGACGGTAACGCCAGCTACATCTCGGACAGGTTTTGTGTAAGGTTGCGCGTCTTTTTATTTCTTCAATCAACGCTAAAATGTATAATGTTAAATCAAAACGGGCTATCTAAAAAAATAGCTTAAAATATCACGCTATAAATAATAAATAGCTTAAAATATCACTATCAATGATTAAAATATCACGCTGTTTAATTTAATAAAAACAAAATAAAAGGAATTTGGTAATTACAGATACCACTAACGAGAATTTGTTGTAGATTTGGATGTTGATTGTATGGGAACGGGAAAGTTCAATCACCGCGACCTTATAGATCTATTATTGTGTCCACCTTTCATTGTGTCCACCACAGTTATAACTCTTTTTACAGTCTCAGAGCTTTGCCAAAAGCCAGTATCTGAGAAGATTTTACACAGGTTAGTTCTCCATCTCCGATATCAGTCGTATCAAAGTTTATAGCACGAATGGTTGTCGTCTCGACGCACTCAGTGATGAGGTGTTTCCCCATTTTCCCCACAGAATCCGCATTCGCCGTTGTTTCTTAACTTCAATCTCATTGAGAGACAGTGTTTTGTTAAAAACCTCGTGACAACCCGAAGATTGATTTTATTTAAATCAAGGAAAATTTTGAAAATATTGAAAAACGGGAATTTGTTGGACAAGCAAGATTTAGGAAGTATCCTTAAAATTTTATACTAATAAGCAAATGGTAAAGTTTTATATTTTATTTATTATTATAGATTTCCGAAATCTTCTAATCATTTTGTATTATGATTAGAAGAACTATTGTATGTAAACACCACAAAAACTAAGTAGTTTGGGTTGGGCTACCATGACCTGCTAACATAACAGCACCCAACCCTAGCAATTATAATAATGAATACTGCGACAATCCTTTGCCGTATTTTAAAATAAACTACATTTTTTTTCGTACGTCCCGTTTACACATTTGTTGTCTGTCAGAACAGTTCAAATAAAACATTGTGTGTAGTCAACAAACCGACCCTTTTTTCTTGAACTGAAATTGGTATCGAAATTAC